ATTTATAATATGTTCATCAAATATAGGATCTCCAGTTTCAATAAATTTAGTTAGAGAAATTGTATTAATAATTGGATTAATTTTTTGATTAAAATATTTATTCATTATTTTAATAATATATTGTTATGAAATAAACGATTTAAAAAAAATTCTTTCCCAAATTCGTTCGCCATTTTTCGATCAACTTTTCATCAATGAAAACGAAATGATGAATGTTCGTTAAAAAAAAACTTTCACTTAAATCCATCAATCAATACCAATTATTCCGATAATTTCGTAATCTTTGATTAAATCCAAGAATAAAAACAACTTGTTATTATTATTATTACATTTTATAAAACAACGAAACATTAAAATTCTACGATCAAGTCCATCGATAAGAAAAATTATTCTCGCAATTGAAAATTGAAAAAAAGAAAAGAAACGTTGTTTCTGCGAATGATGAATTATCTCAACAACAGTGGACCACAACAATGAATACAGAATAAAGGAAAATTCGACTCGAAAATAAAATTGGAAAAACAGGGGCAACCAATTTTGTTCCAATTTCGACGAGCTAATTTACAAGTTCGAGAATAAAGAGCCTTTTTTCTCTTCCCCCCTCCCCCTCTTCTTTCCCCGCAAATCGAATTCCGGGAAATGTTCGTAAGAAGCACGTTTCCCCGGATGCATTTTCAGTCGGCCCCGGTCTCGTTTAACTCGATCAGAGACGACTTAAGTGACGACCGAGTGCCTTTGAGGCGGGTTCGAGTTTCAAATCGATTTAACGAATATAGCGTGGGAAACTGTAAAACACGCCTCTTCACGTACGAATGGGCGTCTAGACCTACAGAGAGAGAGAGAGAGGCGAAGTGACGCTCGAAAATTATTTATGGATCGTGGAAGTTACGGCCTCTCGCAGAAAAATTTAAAAACTTTGGGAATCTTAGGAATTGGTTTTATTTATTGGCAAACAGTGTGTCAAGTTTTGAGCTTTCTTTTTCTTTTTTTTTTGTTTTTTAATAATTGATAAATATCTTTTCACGACGATTTCTTTTTTTTTTTTTTTTTTGTAAATATTTCTCGTTCTTTATTATTGTTAATTAATATTAGAAATATCATATTATCATTGTTGATTATTAATTTTTATATGAATTTTCATTATTAGGGTTTAGTGAAAATTTTCCAAGTTTTAGTGATGGATTTCTTAACTTTTTAAGTTATAATATTTTTTTAACTGGACCCTTCAATTTTCATTATCTATCTATCATTATTATGATTATTAATTTGTATAATTTCATTATTAGAATTTAGTAAAAATCTTGCAAGTTTTAGTAATTATCATTAGAATTTTTAACTTTTTAAATTATAATATTTTTTTAAGTGGATCAGAAGGCCCCTTCAATTTCCATTATCTATCTATCATTGTGATTATTAATTTGTTATATAAATTTTCATTATTAGAGTTTAATAAAAATTTTCCAAGTTTTAATAGTGAATTTTTAATTTTTTAAGCTATAATATTTTTTTAACTGGATCCTTCAATTTTCATTATCTGTCTATCATTATGATTATTAACTTCTATATGAATTTTCATCATTAGGATTTAGTGAAAATCTTCCAAATTTTAGTAATTAATTTTTAATTTTTTTTTTTAATTTTTTATAATATTTTTTTAACTGGACCAGAAGGCCCCTTAAATTTCCATTATCTGTCTATCATTATGATTATTAACTTGTATATAAATTTTCATCATTAGGGTTTAGTAAAAATCTTCCAAGGAGCTTTTTAACTTTTTAAGTTATAATATTTTTTTAACCAGAATGCCCATTTAATTATCTGTCTAATTTTACAAAATAACATCTCTTCTTCAGTTTTTCCGTTTTGAAAATTTTAGAGAAGAGAAATTAACCATCGTCCAACGTTCATAATCCTGATATTTAATTTCTCTAACATTTCTTTAACATTTTACATTCTAACAGATTTTCGTAAATCATTGATGGGACACATAACGAACAGATCTTTTAAGAAGATCAATATTTTACCATGATAGAAATTTTACCAGTAATGCCTGAAACAATTCCTTGAAAATTCAGAAGAACCCTCTGAGAAAGATAACTTTTTAATTAAAATCACTTTAAGCGATAATTTCATTTAAAATGCTCGAATAACGTTATATATAAATTAATTTATTCTTAAACCTCGTTTTATCCACCCAATTATTCGAATAATAATAAATCATTGGATAAACTTAATTTACATTATTATTAACATTACTCATCAACAACATTAACCGTTTAAAATTTTCTCTCTTCGATCCATCACCTTTAAAATCGGATTGCATAACGGATGTTCGTAATTATATTCGAACGAGCGAGAATCTGGCAAGACAAAACGATCGCGATAACGATAACGATAACGATCCACGATCGATAATCGATAGAGCGCGGATATTCGAATGATTAAAAGTGTGATTGGACGGACGGCCGCGCGGTGGCGCGGCGGAGGGGTTAATCGAGGCGCGATGGCGTCGTTAAAAGACAGGGGGCGAATAAACGGGACGCGACACGATTAATCCAGACGCGGGCGCATTCCGTTGCGGACAGTTTACACCGCAATCATCCAACTGATGAATTCGTTCCAACAATCCGTGTCATGCTCCCATTATATTCTCTACAACCCTCTTCCTATTCTCGCTTCCGTTTTATCAGATATCGCGAGAATCTCTCTCAACCTAATCCCACCGCCGAACCGACATGACCGAAAAATTGATATATGTATATATCTACATTAAGAGATAAATAAATTCGTGAAATTCAATGAATAGATTTGATATACTTTTTTTAAGATACTTCCATTATATTTTCTTCCTATTTTTATTTTTTGTTTTATCAGATATCAGTAAGAATCTCATTGACATGATCGAAAAGTTGAAAAATTAAATTCAAAAATAAGTAAATTTGATATACTTTCCTCTAAAATTACATCTCGATTTCTGAAAGCTCTTCTTATGAACCGACATGACTGAAAAATTGGCATACAAAAATATCTACATCGAGATAAATAAATTCACATAAATTTGACATAATTTTTGCTTCTCTATAATTCTCTTCCATATTCTTACCACGATATACTAAAATAGAGATAAATAAAATGTATTTCTGCAAGCCTCTGCCCATTCTTATCTCTGACACGATCGAAAAAAACTAATACGCGTAAAAACGTGTAACCCGACACGTTCGCTTGAAGTAACAACAAATAGTTATATTCTATTCTCAAGGTTAAAAATAAACCATTCGCGTGCCTCTTGAACGCTCGCTGTAAGCGAAACCTTAAGAAAGCTTTTACTTCGAAATGCATCGCCACTTGAAGAGGTTATGAAGGAAAAAGGAGTTGGAAATTCGCGACACGTGCAATCTTTGCATCAAGATGGCGGAACGCGATAACCGACCTATTTTTCCCCAACTTTCGATGCAACTTTTGGGGGAAGGGAAGGGGAAATATATATATACATATATACACAAAATATATTCCCGGATTTATCGCGTTTTGTATTTTCAGATAGACGTCCCCCTTCCCCCTAAAAACACCTACTATCTCGTGTACTATCTTTGCCCCGTAACAAATAACAGCAATATCGTCGACACGACAAATAACCACCTATCCCCCCCTCTCTCCCCCCTCCCCATCATTTTCCAGTGCGTTCTTTTCGGCACGTTCATGATATGGTTCGCGAGCATCACGATCAACCTGGGCCCAACGTTTCTGAGCGGCGCACTTGCCGCGAACACTGAATCGGGTCACAACGCGCCGAGCTGCCCTCTTGTGCACGGCCCGTTCCGCCATTACATACTAAACGTCCTTTGGATCGCCATCAACATGATCTGCGTCGCCCTCACTCTCATCCATCTCAGGAAACTGCACAAAGATTTGACCAAGGCGAACGTCGAAGCGGTACGTATTCCCCCTCCCCTCCCCTCCCCCCACCAGTTGGCAAGCTTTTGACTTCTCATCGCAAATCGCGGATCGCATGCATCATCGTCAAGCTGCA